TTCAGTTAGCGCATAAAGCGCAAATTCTATCAAAGGAGACCAATCAGCTGATGAAGCAACTCGTTCAACTTAGCAACGCCAATGTAAGTAACATTTTACTCTTTCGAAAACAGAATGGTGTTTTTGTATGATCAGATCAAGCTTCTTTTCCACTAGAAGTGAGTGAAAAATGAATGCGCTTTGGATATGATGTGCTTAGCTAGAAATCAACATTGTTTTGCGATGCCGTCACCCCATTATTCTTTATCATTACGATGACCTAAGCTCACTGCGTTTTTGGCGAAAGAGAATAAAATAATCTGAAATTTCGGTATAAGTTGGTAATTGAATTTCAGCGATCTTTGCGCATCCATCGTGAGCGTCTGCAGAATGAATACATAGGTGTATTGAATCGACTACAAGGTTGCCAACGTCGTGCTGCTCAAACAGAAAAGGCTAGCATGCGTCAGGTAATATGCTTTGCTAGAACTCTCATTTGATATCATTCGAAATTAAATGTTCTCATTGTAAACTTTTTTCAAGATGCGTGATGCTGCTGAGCAGGATGCGGAAGCTGCTAAGCGAATGGAGGAAGAAGCTAACCTTAAAGGAAGTCAGATTGAACGTCAACGTCAGCAGCAAATCAATCTGAATGAAATCAAGGAGAGACAACAGGTGAGCCATCCATCGTACTCGTCTGTGCAAATATTAGCCATAGTGGGAATATCAGATAAATTGCTATGATTTTTTTCCTTATTCAGTGGAAGTAGGCATACATTGTATAATTCCCCTAATTTCCGTTTGAAAACTAAGACTTCTTTTGCTGTTATGCGCTTCTTTCAGGCTTTGCAACAATTAGAACAAGATATTGGAGATGTTAATCAAATATTTGCTGATTTGGCACGAATAGTACATGATCAAGGCGACATGGTAGATAGCATCGAAGCGAATGTGGAACATGCTCAGATTCACGTAGAACAGGTATGGTGAGAAATTACCTGATAGTTTATCTGCTTGTCTTCCGCAAGGTAATTTGCTGAAAAGCTAACTAATCATGGATCGTCTATATAATCTTTGGTAGAAGAGTTTTTCAAGATTTGATGAAGGAAATACCTCTAATCATTATAGTGAAGATGATTTGAGTTCTGGTAGGTTAAGATTGAGTTTCTTGATGTTGAATGGGAAGTCCTTCTCTATCTGCGGAGAAGCTACAACTTTTTGCAGGGTGCGACCAATCTTCAGCAAGCTGTCTATTACAATCAAAAAGCAAGGCAGAAGAAAATGCTACTTTTTGCTTTTCTCGTGATTC